CATGCGTCGCCAAAGAACATTGCAAAACAAATATTCATTGTAAAGTTGCTACAAAAATAATTGTATGGTTAGGGGTCGCCACAACATGAGGAAATGTATTAAAGGGTAGCCACAACATGAGGAAATGTATTAAAGGGTAGCCACAACATGAGGAAATGTATTAAAGGGTAGCCACAACATGAGGAACTGTATTAAAGGGTAGCCACAACATGAGGAAATGTATTAAAGGGTAGCCACAACATGAGGAAATGTATTAAAGGGTAGCCACAACATGAGGAACTGTATTAAAGGGTCGCCACAACATGAGGAACTGTATTAAAGGGTAGCCACAACATGAGGAAATGTATTAAAGGGTAGCCACAACATGAGGAACTGTATTAAAGGGTCGCCACAACATGAGGAACTGTATTAAAGGGTAGCCACAACATGAGGAACTGTATTAAAGGGTAGCCACAACATGAGGAACTGTATTAAAGGGTAGCCACAACATGAGGAACTGTATTAAAGGGTAGCCACAACATGAGGAACTGTATTAAAGGGTCGCCACAACATGAGGAAATGTATTAAAGGATCGCTGCATTTGGATGGTTGAGAGTCACTGCTCTGGACCGTCATGTGAAAGATACGCAACTAACTCGTATTTAGGCTTTTACATAATTTGGCAAGGTTAGAAAAAAAAAACGTGTTTTAAACCAAGAAAAACAAACAAATCAATAAAACATATTAGTGAATGTTAAAAAAAAATGTATATGACCTTTAACACTGTCACGCTTCACTTTATAATGGCAGACTCTCAGAAACAAACTGTTGACGATAGAGAACAAATACATAATTATAAGAGTCAGATAAAAAACAAACATGATTATTACTTTTTGTCATCTCTATACACGCCGATACTTATTTTACTATTACATTGCTGTTTGATCTATAATAGCTTTCTTTGAAAAGGGAATCTACTCAACCAAAAAACAAGTAATAGTTACTTCCTAGTTAGAACATTACAAGACTATTTTGTAAAGCATACCCCGCTGTCAGTAGTCTCTGTTCCCTGTGATCTTGCTCAAGTATTGATTTTACTGCTTATGTAGTCTGGCAGCAGTGGTATCAAAGTCGCTAGACGCTTTGGTGGTGTTCTGAAGATCTTGGGTTTAAATCCAAGCGGTGGGGAAACTATACAAAATGATCTTCATCCACACACACACACACACACACACACACACACACACACACAATATTGAACCTGCAAACTAGGCACAACAGTCTCAGCTGGCACATGTACAAGAGATTCAAGATTAGGGACTCGGAACTTTGCCCATAGGGACAGGCACCGTCACAGAATACTAAACATGTGCTCAGACATGCTTTCTGTATACAGTACAGAGATCTCAGGCTTGGTCGATTGGCATTTCAATCGAAATCAAGCCGTATGAAAGAGAGGAAGACGTGTCGCACTACAGACTTCATTTAGGCCTTTTGACCGGAAATCCACTGGCAGGGAGAGAAAAAAATAGAAGAAGGTACCAGGACATAATCTAGGAAGCAAAGATTGTGGATATAATGTCGACTACACACCCGTTGAGTGCGGACAGATCTATACAAATTTAGATATATGACCATGTGCTTGACGCGTCACTGACATTGAAAGGATCGTCTACTACTTTACTTTTCTCCTTCTTCGGCACTTGGTATTTTACCACTTCTTTTGTGAAGGGAGATATGAGGTGCTGCTTTTTGCTCGTCTGGCTGCCTTGACCATAAACAAGTTGTGCTGTTCTAGTGCTTCTCTGATAGTATCTTTCCATCTTCTTCTTCTTCTTCTTCGCAATTATGTCTCGTAGTCCTTTTAGCGTTGGCATGGTCGAATACTTCCTGATCAGTCCATTGATATCTCACTGTATTCTCTGCAGCGATAATAAATCCATCGAAGCTACTACTTTTGTACTAACAGTAATACATTTGCATAAATTGATAATGCATTTCTCGTCTACATCATTAACGATAAATGTACAGAAAAGTCTGCACTGACACTCACTGACGCACAACTACATGGGTTTTACTACCCAAATAAGTCAATGAGTCAGCAGCAAGACTCAAATATTGCAGTATGCTGTAGGCAGAAACATTGTAGTTACCTCCTCTGGAAAACATAGAAGGCGAACAAGACAATAAATCACAAGTGTCTGTATCAAGAACACACACACTCATGATAACATGTTATTTCGTAACTGTTGAATGGTTCCTCAATATAAAAGTGCTACATGGCTACACGATGATACAGTTTCCCATATTTGTGGCTGTCTGATTCTCATCCTTGAGATCCTAATCCTGCATATTGGAAATCTGGAGGGGTAAAATTGCACCTCACCTCACCGATCACAAGTATCCAGAAACCAGATCCGTCCCCAAACTTCAGCATATAAACAACAACGTAAACAGTAGTTTCTTGAAAGGGTAGGAAGCCAACAGTTGCATGTGGAGGGTCAGCAGTAGGTTCAAATCTCAGCATCAAAATTCAGTATCCCAGCCAGACAGCTCATCTGGAGCTATATCCATGTCTCGTGGATAACTGTCGAAGTTACTCGTGTCTGTTGGTGACCTCACCTGGTTGAAACAGAAGTGGATTATATAACATAATTTTACAGTTTGTTTAATCTTATATGATACAAGGGCCTGTGGGTAAGTAACTGTCTGTGGATAACTTTCTGTTGATAAATGTGAGTTGAAAACTATATGCGGATAATTGTATGTGGATTACTTCTGCTGATGACTTTCAGTTGATTACTATCTGTGGAAAACTGTCTGTGGGTGACTTTCAATGGAAAACTGTCTGTTAAAAGCTTTTTGTGGATAATTGTCTGTGAATAATTGTATGTGGATAACTTTCTGTGGATGACTATCTGTGGATGACTTTCAGTGCAAAACTGTCTGTGGATAACTTTATGTTGATAACTATCTGTAGATAACTATCTGTGGATAAATGTTTGTGGATACATATCGGTGGCTGTCTACGGATAAATGTCAGTGAGTAACTAAGGATAACAATTAAAGCTTGTAGTGCCTGTCTGAGACCTCAGGCTAACAGATGCAAATGGCCAGGTTCGTTCAATTTATTCTGCACATGATACATAACATTATACAGCTCAACGACAAAACACAGGCATGAGATTTCGTGCAATCTAGAATTACAAATTATGAAACAAACAATAGCATATAGATAGATGTATAGCTTTTTATAACGCACATGTGGATGTATAAATTGGAAACCGGGGTTCTCTCTCTCTCTCTCTCTCTCTCTCTCTCTCTCTCTCTCTCTCTCCCTCTTTCACTCCCTCTCTCTCTCCCTCTTTCACTTCCTCTCTCTCTCCCTCTTTCACTTCCTCTCTCTCTCCCTCTTTCACTTCCTCTCTCTCTCTCTCCCTCTTTCACTTCCTCTCTCTCTCCCTCTTTCACTTCCTCTCTCTCTCCCTCTTTCACTTCCTCTATATCTCCCTCTTTCACTTCCTCTCTCTCTCTCCCTCTTTAACTTCCTCTCTCTCTCCCTCTTTCACTTCCTCTCTCTCTCCCTCTTTCACTTCCTCTCTCTCTCCCTCTTTCACTTCCTCTCTCTCTCCCTGTTTAGTGAGTCTGTCTGTCTGTCTGTCTGTCTGTCTGTCTGTGTCTGTCTGTCTGTCTGTCTGTCTGTCTGTCTGCCTGTTTGTCTGTCTGTCTGTCTGTCTGCCTGCCTGCCTGCCTGCCTGTCTGCCTGCCTGCCTGCCTGCCAGCGTGCGTGCGTGTGTGTGTGTGTATGTGTGTGTGTGTATATATATATATATATATATGTACATATATATGTACATATTTATACGTGTATGTATGTGCGTGAGAGCGAGCGCGTATTTATAACAATTAGTGGATCAAGTAAATAAACCAGTTTTGAAAAAAAGGTCAAAGTTGTAAGAGTTGCATGTTAGACTTCCTACCACACATTGACTTACACATGGTAGCTAAAAATGATTTGCCTATTTATAATCCTAATGATACTTTATGCATTGTTCACGTAGCGACATTCAGATGGGAATCACTGACAATTCCATTTGCTAACGAACAAAATAGAGCACTGCGAATTCAAATATTATTCACAAATGTTTATAGTGCTGTGGGGCCAGAGACATAACAATAATGGCTTTCTAAAAGATATCAGCTCTCTGAATTGGCTCAAGCGATGTCAGCCATCATGTCGAAGCATAGCGATAGGTTAGATATTATGTATACAGATAGTGTTTAGGAAGTAATTATGAAACACTCGTTGTAGCTACAGATTTACGTGCGAACAGCGACACAGGCGGACAATTCTTATCAGCTGTCTGTACTGGTGGCAGAGCACTTATTGTTTATAACAGTGTGCAATGACGCTGGTTTACATCTCCCGACTTTACCTTTACCTTTTTTTTTAGTTATGATACGCTGTTGTTGCTGGCACATTTTCACCTTTGCAGACAATCTTGTTATACTGTGCTGTGGGGTGGCAAGGGCCCTCCTATCCACAGCACACAGAGCGGTCCGTATTGTAGAGACCATGTGCTACCCAAACATCATGGTATCTCTTCCTCCGGCCTGCCCTGTTTACGTCAAAGGAAAGTTAACACCAGTACGTTTGGAGCAAAGTAGGCTGCAGAAGCTGCAAGATCAGAAGAGCAGTGGATTCCCTCCTAGACCAACTGCCAGCCAAGACTAAGGGCCTGGTCTGCCCTACCATAAAGTGCAGTTTTCAGGTTCCATTTCACCTCTCTATGATAAGGCTAGTATACTCGCCAGTGCACTTCTCCGCTCGAAGCCATTTGCACAGTGCGGTGTATCAGATTTGGTAAAGCCGGCGTTAACAGGTAAAAAGTGTAAAACAGAGCACGATTATAACAAGACCCAAAACACGATGTTTAATAACATACATGAATGAAATATAAAATATGACAAAGACCCAAGCTTGTCATTTAAACAAAAAAATCGTAATGAGCAACACATACCTTTGGTGAAATGGGTGGAGCCAGTGTTAAATTCATAAGACCTTCCCAGTCAAATCCTTGGAACCATCTGCTCGGAGAAACATGAATAAAACATCAAATTAACTTGTTTGTCTCTTATTATTTGTATATATTAAAACTGTAACAATGTTTCTCTTAATTCTAAAATGTGAAACAATGAATGTAATGCCACAACTGGCTGGCAATGCTGAAATATTGAGTTTGCTGTACTTTACAGTGCAATATTAGGTGTTGGTTTGTCAATCAGTGTGTTCGCCCTTTTTCTTTTACAGACAATTAGGAGCTGAGAATTACTTTGTACTAGTTCTAGCGTAGTGACTAGCACGCTTGCCTGCCAGTCCAGATGCTACGTGTTCAAATAGAAAATACAGGAAAACTGTCGTTATACGCGTAAAGCGGTTGATAAGACTCAAATCATGAACAAATCGTTCAGTTTGTGTCCATGATATTCAAGTGTGCCAGGTAATGAGCTAGCTCTCGATCCTCTGGGTGATGAGCTACGATAAAGCTGACATGGTGAAGGTTCCCAGGGATCAAGAGGACAGTGCAACAGAACCGAGTATCCACACCGTGATACACTAATTCAGTGAAAAAAGGGGTGGGGTGGGGAGTTGGGGAGGCCCCGGGGGGGGGGGGGGTGGGGATTGGTTCTGAAAGATATTCAACACTGTGGGGTAGCCATTCGCGGACTCTTAACCAGGTTGCAACTGATACTATTATGATTCCTACGCTTCGTTGGTGACTAAAGAAGGAGCCAAAGAACGTTTAGAAATATCCCCGCAGTGCAAGAATGTCAATTCTTGATTCAATCACCTCTCTGTATATGCTGGCATTATTAACAACGAAAACTGGCTCCAGCGTTCCCGTAGTTCCATCCTCACAGTGAAAAAGAAAGGAAGCAAAAGCAACAAATGTTATAGTAAACACGTCACCAACTGAGGGCCAATGGTTCTATAAACATTGTCCTATGCTCACTATACCTGCTAATCAGGTATAGTCTACAGAGACCCGCTACCCATCGCTGGTGCATCACACATGTGGTGCTAGGGGGCTGCGTTGTCTCGAGGCATAGTGTCCGCCTCGAGGGCTAGAGATTTCGGGTTCAATTCCCGGTAAGGGTTGGGATTTTTTCACGTGTTCTTGGACTTCTAGTAATTCCCCCATGGTCTCTGGGCAGTGAGATCGGACGCCCGTGTGCATTGTTGAGTACGCACGTAAAAAATCCCTTGGCAGTTAGTTGGAAATCGAAAAGAGTAGCCCAACGGCGCTGCCTGGGCAAAAATCTTGAGTTAAAAATCTACCCAAAGTATTTCAGGTCCTCGCCAGTGCTACAGAACCTGTGCATTGTGCTGAGCTACTTGGGACTCTGACGAGTTAGAAAGAAGAACGGAGCACTTATGGGTTCCTAGCAGTGTGCCATCATGTTGATCCGTTATCCAAAAACTTTAGGGAGGTTTGTGTGCCCTTTCTATTGCATTGTACAAGTTGGTGTTCATTTATGTGATTTATGCGAGGTTGCTCCTGATGATGTCGTGCCATACCTTACGTGGTCTTCCGCTTGCTCTGTGTTTATTATATTTCTTTAGCGTGCCTCTTTGTGGCAGTGGGTACTAGGGCATTGTCGTCAGGTGGCTTAACCATCTCATTTGTTGTTCTTTAATGGATTGTATGACTGGTTTCAGCCCTAGTCTTCTTCAAATTTTGTCATTCTTGATTGTATCTCTTCCTGTCACACCGGCAGCTCTCCTAAGACACCTCTTCTCTGTTGTTACGATCGTCATCTCATTAGTTGTAGTAAGAGTCCATGTTTGGATCATATCCATGCTGCTGGAATAATTGTACAGAATGGAACAGAGTAAAAGAATGAACTGCGAGCCCTATATAACGTAAAAAGGCATACAAGGATGATGATGAAGATGTCCATGATTAAGATGAGGTAATAAACAATTCTTTAAATCGCTTATCGTGAATGGCTGGAGGATGTTTTTCCTGTGGGAAATGAGAGTCAGCAGACGAAGAATGTACAATATCCACAACATATCTAATATTACAACTCATTTCCCTAATGTTTAAATTAATTTAAAACAATACAGTGGTAAATAAAAACAAATCAATCTTACTTGTTTTTCCTAATGTCACTAATGCCATTCTTGCCATATCCGAGTCTCTCCATTGGATTGTCCCGGCAAAGCTTCTTGATGAGTATATGGGCACTTCTGCTAATTCTTTTGGGAAACTCAATGTGGTCAATGCCCTTGAGAATGATGTTGTAAGTCCTCATTGGGTCTGAGCCGGAGAAAGGAGGCCTAAAGATACAGGACGCAATCACCTAAACAGTTTACCTACGCAGTAAATAAACTGGTGTTCTCCAGTGGAGGTTGTATTATATAAATTGGTTAGTTGGTTGCCTATAATTTGCGTGATATTGCAGAACCAATAGCAGCATTTTTTTCTGTTTGTGATTTTACTAGGCAATTTTACATTTAGTAGTTTGCCATTCATGGAACGGTCGTCTCTCGATATCACTGTCGAAACCAACGAAGGCGGTCTGTTGCCCAATCCCAAGCAGCTCGGATCGAATCCGGGACAGGCATTACGAAGCGGGTTTGCAATACCTAAGCCACAGACGCAGACAATATGTACAGATACGTATTTGTATATTAGGAAATACGGAATGTATGTGTGTTTAACTGTTTGTTGATATGGGGTCCTTTCATAAATAATAACGAAGTTCTTAGCACTGCAAATAAAGTAGTACATGACTGATAATCTTAAAAGTGACAGGAAAATCAATAATATGGTTATAAAACAACAGACCACAAATTAAACTATAAAGTATGTAAGACTCCTACTAGACGTCTTCGACCTTCACTAAGAATAATGGCCTCAGTCGACATGAACTGAGCTGGCGTGGGAATGCAGTGCCAAGAAATCCACTGGAACTCGTCGAACAACCTCCCATGCATGAGTCAAAACGTAAATGAAAAACTTATTTGGAAAATAGGCGAAGACTGCTGGCTCAGTGAGTATCCTACTGAATGACATCGAAACATCGACTAAGACTAATGAGTATACTACTTCCTGAGGGGCCAAATATACAACCCGTGCAGGAAACAAATACGGTTTCAGAGTTCTTTAGAGTCGCCCAACCAAAAAGAAAAAAAAAAAATAAGATGTAAAATCATAATGATATGTATGTATGTATGTAAGTTGTACTTCACTAGGACAACCAACAAGCAATAAACACCCGGTGACACAACGTGACGCCATGCGGATGAGGATCACCCTTGGAGAGGCCCCGGAAACCCCGTTCAGACATAAGGCCATTATTTCAGGCCCGGCTATATTTAGGGCCCCCGACAAAACCCAGCGTGGGGCTTGAAATAACGACAAAATGCATCCCACATGGGGACAACTGTTAGTGTAAATAAGCATAATGATATAGTGATCTTCACATGTGAATAATGTCCAACAGTGCGTTGCGTGGGATATATAACAAATTAAAATCATGTCCAGCAGCCAGAGCGAGAGGACTTCTCCGCAATTATCACCAGATAGGACTGAAACTCACATAACACAACACAAAGTATTTGCCAGAGCGAGAGGCCTTCTCCGCAAGCACCATGTCTCGGAGAAACAAACCTAACGGAAAGCGCAACGGACAGAGGAAACAGCCCACTGACAGATCCACTCGATCTAACTCGGAGGCCAGGAAGACGCAGACAGATACTACCGAACCACAGGAAGACGCCCCTACTACCAGTGAGGCCCTGAGTGACGTCCCAGCGTCACCTGAACCAACACAGCCAAGTCCACAGACATCTCCAGATCGACGAAAGACAGGCAGCTATGAATTTCCTGCCACAATATTTCTACGACAGACCAACTCGGGCCGGACAGCAATCACTACACTGGCAACGCTAACATTGATCAATATGCTGGAGATCATGTTAGGCAAGAGGGCAGTCGCAAAGATTAGGAGAACTCGAGAAGGAGTGATAGCTTCACTAAACAGAACCAACCGCACCTCAGACATGCTGGATGACATCCAACACGACGGCAAGAAAGAACTCCGACTATCCGAGGAGATAACTGTGACGGCCACCATCTTCCAGAATGTAAGACGCTGGGTGATCCGAAGAGTCAACCTGCAATGGAGCAACGAAGAAATTCTGCAACAAATAAGGAAAGAAAACCCCAATGTCAACATCAACCAAGCAGAGAGACTGGGCTCAAAACGGCATCCATTGCCAGTGGCGGTGATAACATCGGAAGGAGAAAACATCCCGGATAAAGTCTACCTAGATCAAAGAATGCAAAGACCAGAGCAATACGTGCCACAGGTGATCCAGTGCTCTCGTTGTCAAAAAGCATGGCACTCCCGGGCCACTTGTGTGAGCGAACATGAAGTATGCCGATACTGTTCACAACACCATGCCTTCAACAATTGCCCGCTGGCAAAGCTGGACACAGACTTTAAGTCACCCAATACGAACAGAAAGTGCGCCAACTGCTACGGCCAGCACAGCACCAGGTACCTGGGGTGCCCCTATCTGCAACAATGTAGAGAAATTGCAACCACGGCCATACGGGATAAGATTCCATACCATGAGGCCCGCAGAAGACACGAAGCAACCCAAGGCATAACCGCAGCCATTACCACCAAATTGAGCAACGAGGTGGCTCAACTCAAAAGTGACATCCAAGCTCTCAGAGACGAGAAAGACGCATCCAAAACCCAACGAGATGAAGACAGAGATGAAATAACAGGCCTGAGAGCTATAATGCAGGCGACTCTTGACACCCAGAAACGGATGACAGCAGAGATGACGAAATTCAAGGAGGACATCATGAATGCACTGGCCACTATCCAGACACAAAAGGAACAACCAACTAAGGCAAGGGAAGACGAGGCGGGCATCAATGATCTGCGGGTTAAACCAAAACTTCTCGCGAAAGAAATCGCAATGATCAAGAAGGCACTGGCTGAAACAGAGGAAAAGTTACGAAGAGCATACGAAGAAAACAACAGACTTAACAAGGAACTGCAAGCAACCAACAGAGTGATGGAAGAAAGAGAGAAAGCACGGAAAGAGGCAACAAAGAAGGCAGCAAATACAGGGAGCCGAGACCCAGAAAAAGCCGCATCAAACACCAGATAAGAAAACTCAGGCATCGCTGATGAAACAGTTTCCGTTGGCAACAATTGACCAAATTAACCAACGCATCATGGAGATGGAGGACCCGAACTTCTATAACTCAGAACTGCAGGATGATGATGTTTTTTGGTCATCACCAGAGGAACCACATCGACAGCCAAAATTTGAAGTCAAACGAGGTCGACATCGTTACCCCAAACACTAATACCAGATACGACACAACCAAAGCCAAATTACCGAAACCCTATGTAGGAGCAGTACTTTACAACAAGGATACGAGAAAATCGCCAAATAATACCAGACCTCAGCAGTATAGCCATCAGTACCTGCCCAAGTCAATCGACCGCCGGTCCTTATTAGGATAGGCAATCTACTTTCACCGGAAACAACAAACAGCCAAGGAATACGACAATAAATCGATCCAACATCCAATCATCTTGAGCGCAGCACAGGGCCAGCCAGATTACAAAAACAACAGCAAGAGCGGAAACCACAACAAACAGAAAGTGACAACATTAAACACAATCCAGAATCAAATAAGATCGCGACCAGAAAACGTCACCACAAATATAGCTGAAAGGAAAGTGAGCAGAAATGTGAACGGACCTAGCTGAAAGTGGTCAAAGAAAGAGAATTTGAATTTGAATTGAATGTCCAGCAGCTCGTAACTAAGTAAGAACATGACCCCTTTCCAGACCTTCAGGTGTATTGGGCATATAGGGCTAGACCTAAATTTCACAGACCAATCGGTACTCCGTGGGTGATATGGTAAACATCACGCCGGCCGCCTTTACTTCCTATGATTTTTTTTACCTGGTACCGATTCAAGACTGGATCGACCAGAGAGATAATGTCATTTCTGAAAACAAAATTCGGCTCCGCCAGGACCCGAACTCACGACCTTCCGATCTGCAGACGAGAGTCTAGCAGCTAAAACACAGCCGTCCCTTGCTCACAGCCGAATACACACCCAACATACCCTGCTGTAGCTCATGATAGTAAGTTAAGGTCCTTTTTCCACGCCTTTAGGCGTATTGGGAATATAGGGCAAGACCGATATTTTTACATACCAATCGGCCCTCGGCGGGTGATATGGTCAACATCACACCGGCCGCCTTTACTTCCCAGGACTGCACCTGGTTCCCACTCAAGGCTGGGTCGACCTGGGAGTCAAGGTCATAAAAAAAGTCCAGCTCTATCAGGACGCGAACCTACGACCTTCCGATCCCCAAGGAGGCGTCTAGCCGCCAACGCCACGGCGACTCCCTTTGTAGCTCATAACCTAGAATTTTCACAGAGAATCAAACCACAAAAAACTTACGTGCCGTTCAACAGCTCATACATGAGAATGCCCAACGACCAGTAGTCGGCAGAGTGGTCGTGCCCTTTATTCAGTATAATTTCGGGGGCGACATATTCAGGTGTGCCACAGAAGGTCCACGTTTTCTTGCCCACGCCAATTTTCTTGGCAAAACCAAAATCTACCTGTGGTGGAAGTAAAACTCATTTTATGTTAACTGTTGTAGAAGAATGGAAAGCAGTATACTGACATAAGTATAGTAGTAGTGACGGTAGTGGTGGTGGTAGTAGTAAGTAGGAGTAACTAGTATTAGTTATAACAGTGGCAGTAATATCAGTAGCAGAACAAGTAACAAAAGCAGCGAAAGCATAAGACATAATAAAACAGTAAAACAGAAGCATAGGTAACTGCATGTCATTTTTCCTGGGGGGGAAAAAACCGGCTCCAGTTTTTTTTTTTAAGGTAGTTGTGTGTCCTTTTCAGGACGTTATAGAACCAGCCCCAGAATTGTTGGCTGTTGTTGGTTTTTTTTATTCTAGGAACATTTACATTCAGTATTTGACCTTGTCACCGACACCACTGTTGAAACCAACGCAAGGTGGTATGCTCCCATATCGCCTGCATTTGGGATTGAACCTGGCACCTCGATATTATGAAGCGAGTTGGCAACACCTAAGCTAAAAACGCCATTGCTCACCACGAAATATATCTTGAAAAAAAAAAATGGGTTTCGTCGCAAGGACAGAAGGGTAAGTCTCAGAATTTTCAATGCAACTGAAGTCATTTTCATTTGATAAATTAACTCCTAACTATTTTGCTCTAGGCCTAGCCTATGGTAAACAAACGAAGCAGTGTCGCCGGCCACTTGCTAGGCCTCTGTGGGCCGGATTCAGAATGGGGGCCTCCACCTGAATAGAATAACCCTGCTCTAAGTTTATGACAGAAACAGGAATTACATTTTGAGAAAGCGCACAAGGCAAAGAAGAACTAACCAACTTCACATATCCTCTGGCGTCCAACAATAAGTTTTCTGGCTTCAGGTCCCTGTAAGATAATGCCCTTGGCGTGGAGGTAGGAAAAGGCTTCGAGAACACAGGCCACACAAAACCGAGCAGTCATGTCATCAAAGTTTCCTCTGGGGAAGAAATCATGACACAAGTCTTTGAAATTATCAAACTAGCATTCGCTGATTTGCACAAATTCTTCTCATTTCGGGTCCATCGCCATCTCCTTAAAAAGGTGACTGGCATGCTCCTGTGTAGTTTACATCTAGTCTGTGATATCTGCGCCGGTAAGCTCAAAACACACAATCTCACCAAATTTCTAAATAGTCGTCTCTGTTATGATGTGCTTTTTATTGGCTGCTTGTTTGTGCCTAACCCCCCCTCCCCCCCCCCCCGACCCACCCAAACAATTCTCCCCTTAAATGGGCTGCCGGAATCCACACGGAGAAGATAACTTATAATTAAATAAAATATATCACAACTAAAATTTACTGTCACCATCTTCAACTGCCTACTGCGTTGACCATAATACCTTTCCACAACCGGCAATTTCAAACAGCATGTGCAAGTATTGTAGGCTGATACTCTTCCATGCCATGATAAAATGTTCTCAAGAATGTTCTCGCGTTGTCTTCCTCTATCTTCTTCCCATACATCTTTCCAGTTGTAACGATATCTACGAGCTTCTTTCTTCTTATAACGTTGCCAGAATTGATTCCCTGTGTCTGATCTTTGTGATAAGATATTTTCGAGCATGTTCTTCTTCTGTGAAAACATCTTGATTACTCACTAGGCTCTTTCAAGAACTTTGTCATACAATCACATCTCTAAAGCCTCAAGAAATGCTTTGATTTCATAGCAATCTGTTTAAAATAAAACTGTTTCTTTGTAGCATGCAAACAGTATTTTTCTTAGCGTCAACTAATTATTGTTAATAAACGCGCATTTACAGATTGGCAGTTTCCTGATGGGGTAAACAAAAACAGGAAGAGAGAGGTCCCATGCTGCATAGACTATACATGGTCTCTTGGCACTGTGATGCTGGGGTGTCTGTGGATTACCTACCTCCTCGGGCAGCAGCCAGAAATGCCCTGTACCAGTTCTAAAGGAACTTCTGCCTTGCCCTTTGACACGTAGCCAAGGTGACGCTCACAGTGTGCTCATTCCCCGTCACCAGATTGCCTGCAGGTTTTGCGGAGCTCTTCTTGGCTCTAAGCATGGTCTAAGCTTGAGTAGTTGGGGCTACTACCGCAGGGCAGCGGGAACCAACTGCCCTAACTATCTGTATTTACCAATTTTGTTGGTGGGTGGGGGGAAGGGGTTTGAACCTAAGGATTTATGACCTCGTGGCTAATGCAGTCACCTCGACTGTGCAGTCTATTTTTTTATTGTTGTCCCCGAGAGGGAAAAATCTACAACCTTACTGATAATTCGAAACTGAGTCTTCCGCATGAGAGCCGAACTTTCTAACTGTTCGGCCAGTCGCTCTTCTCTGAAAGTCAGGCTCTAGGCTATAGAGAAGAGGAGTGACATCCCTCGCCCTAATGCCAGTCGATCTTGCTACACACTTCGCAGTATCGTTTGGACAGTCGGAAAGATGCCAACAGTTTATTTTCATTATCTGAGTAGTAATTGTTTGTTATAGTATCGATTCTCTGTCACGCTTTGGAATTATTGCAACCCCCTCCTGAGAATAATAAATTCTCTGAAGCCATGGGGGTCCCTATATAAACGTCACTAAACATAAAACCACCAATGCGATAAAACTGAATCACATTCCCAACTGCCCATAGCTCAAACATTACAGAAAAAGATTGCCAAATATCAAGTTTTATGCGGTCATCAAAAAGTCAACGAACTATCAGTAGTGCAAGATATGTTTATTTTCGTAGCGTCTTTCATCTACAGATAAATGTTTTCTTACAGGGTTTCAGCTTAATTTTTTATTTCTTTAGTTTTACCCACTCCAGTTTTAGAGTCTATAGGAATCTTTAAAAAATAGAATAAAAGGGTTAGAAATCCTTACAAAAAACCGATCAATCTTATAGCGATATCATTATCATCATGTAGCAGGTGCTTTGCAGAACGTCCCCTCATCACAGTCTGCCTGGAAGAAAGTCGGTCTCTCGCCAGCTCTCCTGCCTCATGCACTTTCATATTCACGCAGTCACTTATATCCTGTGCCAATGTTCGTGTTGGTCGGTCCCTGCCCCATCTTTCTGGTACCATGACTTCTGTTTATCGCCAAATAGCACAGTTATTGTGCGGCACCCCAAACGGTTAGGAAATAACATGTAGTCCAGTTTAGGTGGATGTTTTTGTACTTCGCTCTTAGTGAATAAACTTGAACATCAGTAGAATCGGACACTGAGTAATTAGCACCTTTGGAAACGCTAAGTGCAATGTCTCATTACTCGAATGAGTATTCCCCCAAGGGCAAATCCAGGAAACCCCGTACAACCACAAGGTTGTACCATGGAACCCCTCCACCAGGGTTACAAATAAACCCTATGCCCCAATTTATGACCGGTCGTTTAAAAAATAATGAAAGCCAGTAATTGTTAACCTAATTGTCACATAACCTTTTTTTTCCTGTCTTATAATTGTCTTTACGTCACTCAATTATTTTATATGACATGCTACAATAATTTATGGTAAAACGATGTTATGAATCAAAGAACTGTAAAGCAGATAAGCGAGGATCAGCTGGGAAACGATATGGGCGACTCTAAAGTTAATTATAAAATACTTTCCCGCAGATTTCAAACTAGCGTTTACTTCCCTACATAAATATTAATAAATAGACAGTTGACCTGTCGACTAGCGTGAGAGATCACTTGTCTCAACTATTTACAGTCTGAAATAAAATGTATCATGTGATAACACATATCTGTACCAGGGCATATAAGTAAAGGACCCTTTTCCACGTCTTTAGGCGTATAGGGCATATAGGGCTAGACCTATAATTTTATAGACCAATAGCACAAGATGGGTGATGTGGTCAGCATCACGCCGGCCGCCTCTACTTCCCAGGACTGCAGCCGGTACCCACTCAAGGCTGGGTCGACCTGGGAGCCAAGGTCATTTTTGAAGAGAGGTCCGGCACTGCCAGGGAGCGAACCCACGACCTTCCGAACCGCTCTGCCACAGCGACTCCTACCAGGACATATATGTCGAGAATATATCCTACTTCTCTCTTTCAATTATTCTGCTGAGTTATTACAAATGTTTCAGTTTTCCCTCTATTCATAATGTAATAATACATGACGACTGTTTTTTCCCCCTGAAGTTTGTGATCAGCCAAACATCAGCATGAATGGGTAGTATCTTTACATGATTGAATCTGAAAATGTTCGTGCTCACTCTCCAACTGTGGAATGTTGAATCAAGAATCCACATCACAGCACTGGGGACAACCCCATAAGCGCTTTGTTTTCATCTTCATCAGCAAGCGAAAAGTTCCAATGATGTTACCAGTATCTGCGGGATTGTATTTTTTGTCTCGCCTTTCCCTTGAGTGTTAAGTGTCGGCCAGATCTTCTGGTGTCTCCCCGCTGCGCCATTCTCCTCAAACTGTAATGATCGGTTTGTGTCTCTGCGCAGTTCACTCGCTCAAAGAACTTTAAGCCTTGCAGAACTTTAAAACTATCTGCAATAGTAGGTAGTGCAAGTATATATCGCATACAGACTACCGGTAATCGCTTGTACAACCCAGAATTACCCGCATCGTTTTAATCTGTCTGCGTTCAAGTTTCTTCTTTGATATGGTAAGCATTCCAAGACTATCGATCGATCATCGACAGGATCACATGCTGGAACATCGTGAACAGCTTTTTTGTGTGTTCCATGTTCATTGCTGTCATAATCTTGAGAGCATTGTGTCATTTTTCGCTTTAAACCGCAACTGCCTTTACATGATCCCTAAAGGACAGGCTTCTTTTGAAAATAATACGCATGCATCTCAGTTTGCTATCTCTTTTAATGTTACTGTTATTAATTGTGACGCTTTGAACACTAGCTCTTACAATTCTATTATCCAGAGAGCACCATTATATAGAAGCCTTTTCTGAGTTGATGACAGCACCCACTTAAGCACACCAGTCAGTCGCTTTGTCTACAGTTGCCTGCAACTGTTGGGCTATCCGTTGCCTATCACTGCCAGCTTTGGTGGAGGAGCTGATGGCATTTGGCATTGCTGTTGTGAAGGAGTTTGTGCAGAGCAATAAGAATAATTTACTAGGATAGACCTGGGACACCTTTAAAAATAGCCCCTCTTCCCCCCTCCCCCCCCCCCCCCCCTAACCAAAAAAAAAAGCTATGGGGAAAGAAGGGAGCGGGGAGGGGTGGGTTGCAAAGAAAATGTTTTAAGGACAGAGGAGGAAAGGGAGGATGTTCCCATTTCTTTGATCAGCAAACCGTCTGCGAAACAAAGTGATGTGAAAACAATTGTAGATCGTTAAACTGGCAAGGCTGCAGCAAATTATATCATAAATCTGTGTAATGAAAATACCACGTCTCGCTTTTAAAAAAAAGTTCAAAAATTTAATTTCCATACAATATGACCTCTTTACCGCCAGTAATTTGTATTTTATCAGCATCTCTTCTTTGTACTCGTAAAGGTTAGTTGCGTATCCTTTACAGGACGTTACAGAACCAACCCCAACAGCCCCTGGCTGTTAAGTGGTTTTTCTAGGCAAATTCATGCCCAGTAGTTTTCCATTGCTGTCTAGGCGGTCAGCTTTCTTGATACCACTGTCGAAACCAACGCAAGGTTGTACTAGTAAACTGTCTTTAAATTGTCCTGTTCTGTTCATTTATGTGTGTGTGTATGTGTGTGTGTGTGTGTGTGTGTGTGTGTGTGTGTGTGTGTGTGTATGGTGTTGTAATGAAATGCTATACATTTCAATTCTCTTTCTATGCAGTAATATGCACGATGTATTGATAAAATTTCAAGCGCAAATTCCAACAGTCGTCTAAAGGTAAGAAACAAAACAATTATGTTTACCTTCGACGCTGTAA